GTATCTTTTGGATTACCTCTGAATTCTGATATCTACACCTTAAACGGTATATTGAGGACCGATCTATATTATAAATTAAAGCGACATTCTACCAATAATCTTATACAATATTCTCTCGTTGTTTTTCAAAAAGACGAGGCATTTTTGAGAAAATAAGGTTATACTGTCAAGTCTACAGGCAATATTATTGTTACTTAGCAATTGTATGTTTGATGTGTAGGTAATTAGGATAAAACCAGAGAAACGTCCTATTTGCATGTAGAGAGTAATCCAAAAAAAATACGAGGTCGAGCCGAAAGATATTTATTACAGGAAGTTAAAAATTCGATAATTTGAGTAATAGCCGACTTTCGAAAAATTTGAGATATAATTTTCTTAGGATAGTCCAAAGATCAAAAAGATGCATAGAAAAATTTCCAAAAATTCAGAATCTGACATAGCCCCAAACTTTGCTAAAAAAAACATGACTTCATTTGCTCACCCTGTATGAGTGGTTAAATATACCGGTCGAACCCTGTACGTGGTCTCAAAGAGTTGGAAAGAACCTCCCGAATACCACAACTCAATATCTCTGTCCGTTCCGAAAATATAGAGATGTGAATTTCCCATCCTAACCGTGGTGAACTTCGTACATCCAGAACTGGCCGATACGAGCGCATCTTTGTCCCTAGAGTATCGAGACTGTAAAATCATCTACCTTTCTGGTACACCAGCAAAAGCATAAAGCAAAGTTATACAAGAACTACAAAAAGAGTCACAATATCCATCTACATGAACAGTACAAACGTCTTAGATCTGAGTTAAAGCGTCAAATATTTGTGGCCTATAAAAATTATACACGTAATGTTGAGATTTCCATTTCTCAAGATCCTTAACATTTTTGGAGTTTCATGCATACAAAAAATCGAACTATTAGGATTCCGCGTAAAAAGAAGTTGAATGACGTCTCACTGAACGATCCTTACTGTGCTGTCAATGCATTGGCAGATTTTTTCAATAGTGTTTTTGTTGATCCATCTACTCGTAATGATTTTATTGAAGGTTAACATATTGTTCAATGACATTCATGAAAATGAGATTATTGCTGCATCTAAGGTCAAGAATAGAGTAACGGCCGGCCCAGACAACATCCCCTCGTTCATAGTCAAAGACTGTATTCATGTCTTTGTTAAGCCGTTATGAAAAATATACAATCTGACTATAGAAACAAACACATTGCCTGATATTTGAAAACTTTTTAAAGTGACAACTATTTTCAAATAAGGGGATAATACTGATATTAAAAACTATAGAGCGGTGGTAATGTTGTCGAATTTCTCCAAATTGCTGGAGATAATATTGCTTGATAGAATTTACTCCGCAGTTCATAGATCTCTGTCCCCTTTCCAGCATGGTCTTCTACATCAGTAACTAATTTAACAATCTTCACTCAGTTCGCTATTGAATGTGTCGATCGGCAAGGTCAACTAGATGTAGTACTATATACCGATTTTGCTAAAGCGTTCGATAGGGTGGACCATGGCATACTTTTGAATAGACTTTTTTATTATGGATTCCATTCATCAGCTTTAGTACTCATTCAAAGTTATCTTCATGAAAGGAAGCAATATGTTACTTCTAATGGATTCAAGTCGTACCAGTATATAATTAAATCGGAAGTGTCTCAGGGTTCAAACCTTCGTCCTTTATTTATTGATGATGTTGTGCATTATCTAAGTTGTAATAAGCTCCTCTTTGCGGTTGATTTAAAACTATTCAAGATTATTGAGTCTGGGACTGATTGGATTGCACTTCAGCGTGATATTGATTCTCTAGTGGCTTGGTGTGACGAATAATTTATTTCTTAATGCGTCCAAGTGTAGTGTAGTCAGCTTTACCGGGAAAACTTCTGCATGTAAATTTAATTATAAAATTGGGGATGCTTACATAAATCGTTATAACTCAATTAAGGATTTGGGTGTAAGTTAATTTTTCACTCCACATAGCTCAAGAGGTGAGTGAAGCATCGCGCGCGTACGTTTTGATTGCGAGAAACTGTAGAAGCTTTAGCCGCCCAGGGTCGCTATGGTATTCTGCAAATATTAGATCGGAATTGGAATATGCATCGATAATTTGGAATCCAATTTACAACTGCTACATTGATTCTCTTAAGCATGTTCAGAGAAAGTTTCTAAAATTTTTATCTTTTAGAGTTGACGGTATATATCCTGAACGTGGTATATCTGAAAGTTTGTTATTGTCTAGGTTTCAAGTGCAGTCTTTAGAACTGAGAAGGAAGTGTGCATCAATTATGTTCTTGCCTAAACTACTGCACAATCAAATTGATGCTAATGGGATTGTGGCTCAAATAAACTTTAATGTTCCATCTATTCAAACTCGTACAGCTAAAACATTTTATTGTGACAAGGCTCGCAGAAATTTGTTTTTGAAAGCACCCATATATGTGATGTGTGAAACTTTCAATGTAATATCAAATTATTGTGATATACATGCTGACAGTTTGAACAGCCTTCCGAGAGTAGCTAGGAATTGCTTGGATAATTTATGATACGTTACTCACCTAGGTGAATTTTTTTTACTTCTTTTTCTTGTTTGTTTTTTCTTTAGATGAAATCACCTGCTTTTTATGTTTTCTGTTCTTGTTACTCTGATTTATCTTAGGATTGTCCTGTAAATGATTTCCTTAACTGTTGGGCAATAAACGCTATTTATTTCTTTATACCTAAGAAGGCTTTACCCAGTTCTACTAACCTAGATTTCTGTCATTTTTTTGCTATTTTTGTAGCACAAAAGGTGGCACGTCAGCATGTCCAACTTTTCTTCATTGCTAAAATGACCGAATTGCATCTTCGACGATAATGATGCAATATTAATAAAACACAATAATACTCGGTGACTGGTATTTATGTCAAGCATTTGTTTGCAATGCCTACTTGAATAAAAGAAAAATATAGGATGTACTTCTTTCGGACCATATAAAAAATAAAGTCGATGATGGTTTTTCAAAAACGAAACGAAGTACGTAGTGAAAATTGATAAAGCTACATATTTTTCAATGCAAAAATAAGTTTTAGCTTTAACAGTGGCATGCGTACGGGTATTGACTTCAATATTTTTCAAGAAAAAAATGGTACTACAATGGATTTTTGACAAATAAAAAAATAAAAACCGTTCTATTGTCCGAGAAAATCAATGTAATAATTGAAAAATGCAATTTAGCGATAAATATCTAGTTGCTGTGGAATATGTCACTGGCTTTTGACATTTGACAAGTCTCTGTTATTCAAATCTGTTCGCTGTGACATTTTTTGCATTATTTAGTATTTTCAATTTTGTTAATTATGGTGAATCAGTCAAATGCAGTAATGGCGGAAATGCATTACGTATATGGCCTTGCCGACGGTAATGGTGAGCAAGCTAGACGGATTTATCACCGGAGATATCCCGATCGTGCTTTGCCAGATAGTCGAACCTTTTCTAATATTCATCGGCGTCTTGTTGAAACTGGTTCTGTCCGAAAAGGAACATCTGAAGGTAGACCTCTAAGTGTGAGAACACATGAAATTGAGGAAGCAGTGCTGCAGGAAGTCGAAAAACATCCTGAAACGAGTACGAGGAAGATCGCTAGACACTTAACTCTTTCCCATCAAATTGTTTGGAGAATTTTAGTGGATTTTTTGTTAATCCTTACCATATTTTAAGAGTACAGGCATTACTTCCTATTGATTTTCCATGGCGTGTGACCTTTTGTTAGTGGTATCTTCAAAAAATTACACAAAATCCGCAATTTGAATCAATGATTCTGTTCACGGAGGAAGCTAATTTTTCTCGAAATGCCATTCAGAATTTCCACAATAATCATTTGTGGGCAGAAGAAAATCCCTATACCGTAACCGAAACCCATTTCCAACACCTATTTTCGGTTAACGTATGGGCAGGAATTATTGGCAACCACTTTATTGACCCATTCTTCTTGCCGAGACGACTTGACGGACAGACTTACCTCAATTTTCTTCAACAACAGTTGCCTTTGCTGCTTGATGATGTTCCGTTAGTAATAAGAAACAATATGTGGTACAGCCATGATAGTGCACCAGCGCATTTCAGTGAAGCGGTTCGTAATTATTTACAAACTGTTTATCCAAATCGTTGGACTGGCCGCGGTGGGCCACAAGAATGGCGACCAAGATCCCCAGACCTCAACAGTTTAGATTTCTTTTTGTGGGGCTATCTTAAGACACTAGTATACACAAGTCCCATTAACACTGTAGAGGAATTAAGAGAAAGAATAGTTGCAGTTTGTTATAGAATAAAAAACACTAGAGGGATATTTCAACGAGTGTTCAATGCCATGAGATGGAGCGCGGAAGCATGTATACTAAGTGAAGGGGGTCATTTTCAAGAATTTTTGTACACATTTGTTGGTTTTAATGTTATGTTTATGTTGTCAGTTGTTGTTGTTCGTTACCCTTAATGTGTTTAATTTTTCCAATAGAATTGATAATAATTTTGCAAGTTAGACAATAGAATAGTTTTTATTTCTTCACTCAAAAATAGCGTATCGAAAGAAAACCATTCAAGAAAAATCATTTGTTTTGAATTGAACGTGGAATTGAAAAGTAATTTTTATTTGGCAAAAAACCATTGTCGTACCATTTTTTTCTCTTTAAAAATATCGAGGTCAATACACGTACGCACGGCAGTGTTAAAGCTAAAAATTATTTTTGTATTGAAAAATATGCAACTTTATTAACTTTCACTGCGTACTAAATATGAGTGAAATTCTGAAACGGTTCTGAAAATATTAATTAATTTCTATTTTTTTCCTAAAACTTCAACACCCCGAGTTTTTGCAAGGAAAAATGTTTGGACGATAGTTTATAAAACAAACTACTAATAATTTTTACGTACATTCACACCCTTAAATATTCGCATATCATTAAGGAACACCCTGTATAATAACACAAATGTACTTTTACATCGCATATTACATTGTTTCAGATTCGCTGGATACTTGAACGAGAGACAGTTTGACAGACAGGGATGATGGTAATCGGTAAGATGTACCTAGGATTGAAAGGGCTCGGATGCGACGAGGTAGTCGTTTTGTCGGCGCCATGAACCATGCAAGCCGGCAAGTGGCGGGCTGTCGCGGTCTTGCTGCTAGCCGAGCTGTTACACCTTGCCCAAACGCTGCCCTCTGTCGTCAAGATCGGTAAGCTACCATTTCAAGACATTTTAAACTCAATTAAATTCTGTACAAATTCAAAACATAAATTGACTCGATGCCATCGGGTACCCGTAAGCATACGCGGTAAAGCGAGCGCCTGGAAGCCATATATGAACTTAATTCAACTTGGCAAAGCATTGGTAGGTGGAGATCAACTATCTCCGCACAGTGTTTTATAACATGGTGGCCGTTATTGCATTGATTAGTTAAACGCAATTGGATAACTAGCCAATTAATATGCTAAGACCGACAGGATGAAATTCGTTAATTACCATGACACTCAGTATTTTCACCAAGTTAGACGCACGGGTATTATGTAAAAATCTATAAAACGTTAAAAAAACTATAAAATGTCTTCTAGCAGACTAGGTAGTTTTAGGGTGCAAACAGTAATTCCACGTTTGCTCACTAGGATCGTTGTGAGCCTCCATCTATGGAGGTACAGCTCAACTACACGCATTGTTGGTTGCATATGTTTTGTGAACCCGAGTAGTCTATAGTTTATGGAAAGTTGGTGGAATAGCCAGATCGCATCTGTATGGTTGTGTGTATTGGTCTGCATGTCTATGAAATCAGTGATACTTGCTGTGTGAGAATATCATAATATATATACTAAGTGACATATAAATCCGAACACCCAGTTTAAGTGGTTTAATTTTAATAAAATTTTGTATAAGTACTTAATGAAGCATAATAAGTAAATGATAAAAATTTCAAAATGATTGCACTGCTTTAAAGCCCTTTGACCTTTAATAATGTGTGGATGCACCCTGATGTGCTACGCATTCTCCAACGCGCCTAGGCATGCTTCTGATCAGGTGGTCAATGTCCTCCTGTGGTATCTCATTCCAGGCAACCACCAACTCCTCTCGAAGTGCTTCTAGAGTCTGAGGAGGACGTTGCAAATTGAGCAATCTCCTACCCATCATATCCCACACGTGCTCAATTGAGGATAAGTCGGGAGATCTTGGTGGCCATGGTAACAATGTGACATCATTATGTTGAAAGAAGTCTATTGTGACTCTTGCAACATGTGGTCGGGCATTATCTTGTTGGAAAGTTGGATCTGCCAGGGTGTCAAGATTGGGTAAAAGATGGGGTTCTAGAACTTCGTGGATATAACGCTGCGCGTTCATGTTACCTCTGATGAAGATTAAAGGTGACCTGGAACCATAAGCTATAGCACCCCAAACCATAACTCCAACAGTGTGATGAACATGTCTTTCAACAAATAACTGTGGATTCCTCCTTTCACCACGTCGCCTTCTAACCCTTGCACGACCATCGTGCAAGAATAAACAAAATCGAAACTCGTCACTAAAGACAATACTGTTCCATTCCTGATCCCAGAGTGACCGTTGTCTGCACCATTCAAGGCGATTACGTGTTCTCGAGTGAAAGGGAGGACCCAGTGTGGCCGGTATGAAAACAAGCCAAAACTTCTCATTCGTCTGTAAACACTTCGCATGCCAATAGGTCTTCCGTGTTCTGCAAACCATTCATTTGCAATGGACCTGGTAGTGGAGAAGCGGTCCCTTAAGGCCAATAATCTTAGGCGGCGATCTTCACGGTCTGTTGTTCTACGGCGGCGTCCAGTGCCCCTTGCTCTTTGCGTACGGCCTTCTCGAAGCCATACCTGACAACACCTAACCACAGTGTCTACACTTCTTTGCACTCTAACTGCAATTGCCCGAAAAGAAAGTCCAGCTTCCTGAAGTCCCACTATACGGCCCTTATCAAACTCACTAAGTTTACGAAATCGTACAGGTCTCCGTACTCTAGGCATCGTAACCGATCGTAAAGGATGTCAAGAACCAAAATCCGCCAACGTTGATTCTTTACTGCAGCTGAAATATTCATTTTTAGAGCGTTAGTGAATTAAAAAAAAGCAGTATAAAAACCGGAATAACCAACTGATAAGGCTGAAAATTTTGTCACTTGTTATTTACAGTAAGATAAATACATTCACCAACTTTTATTAAAATAAAACCATTTAAACTGGGTGTTCGGATTTATATGTCACTTAGTATACATAATAATGAAATATATTTATCAGCTGTGCCCGACGGGTTATTTATATGTTGTCCTTTCTGAAGACAGGTTATGTTCAACGTTATAGATTACGATTTTTTCCTTTTTTTGTGTTTTCAAAAACTTTGAGGACAATTAGGTACGGGAAATCACCACCGCGCTCGCGATGTGTGTAATTACCGTTAGCATGTATATGACTTGTAATTCGACAGTGTCTTCTTTACAAAATGATTTGTGTACCTATATAAAAATACATGATGGAGACAACTTAAGTTAAATGGTATAGTTATTCGCTTCGATAAAATAAAGGTAGGCTTTATAAAACAAATGATAACATTTTACGTTGCTAAGAAGCTAATTTTTAAACTTTCAATGCACTGGTGTTGTTCTTAACAATTAAAAATGGTTCATGGTAAAGCTAACTATTCCTCATTTGTTTATCTGGGCGGTCCGTAGGACCTTTGTCCATTAGTCACTGTCTGATGTACGTTAGTCGAATCTGTCAGTTCTGGTTGCCCAGAAACCAGACAAAGTCAAGGAAAAAGAGAAAGGGAAAGAGAAGAAAAAAGGAGAAGAGCAAAGAAAAAAAACAGATATGCTTAGTTTAAAAGGAAACACCTAGGCTTTTTGACTTGGTACACGGATTAATTTTGAGGTGAACTAAACAAATTTTTTGATTCGGTTTTGTTAGAGTGTAATTTTGAGTTTACTAAAGATTCACGCTAACTTTTGGTTACAGTGCGAGCCGTGGTCTTGAATGTTTACGAACTTGCTCCATTGTGTAGTCCACTGAGTCACGCAACAGAGGGTTGCTGTGCGATTCCGCTTGACTATGCGTGGTAAAGCTGTTTCGGGCTGAATGAGAAAAGTGATCATACACTTGCATTTAAAGAGCCAAATGCTTCCTATATCGTTGACAGTGTTAACAAATCGAGGGATACATTTAGAAAGATCACTAAATTGTACAAAACAACTGGATTTGTGGCTCAAAACCCCAGAATTTGAAGTCGCCCGCGTTATTCCATTACCAACTTAAGAGCTTTAAGACCGATTATTAAGGACTATTTTCCTCGTCTTAATTTCTACCAATCACAAACGCGCGATTCTGAAGTACAAATGGTTTCTACGAGCCCCTTCCCACTTCAGTTGGACCACTTCAAGATTTTTACCAAAATATGCCTTTATAAACTAAACATGACGAAACTATTTACTTCTAAAACAATTTATTTTCTCAAAAACATTTTAGATACACTCTAGTCGTAAAAAATACATATTTTAAATCACTTAGACCTATAACTAATAGAACATCTGAACAAATAAACAATGTGCGAATAAATGCGCAAAAGTTAACAACAATTGAAAGATTACCATTGGGTAACATCACCTTTATTTTTTATTACGGCTGAAATTCTTTGGGGCATAGAGTTAACCAAGTTTTGGCAATAATTTGGTGTAAAACAATCCCATAATTCTTGAAGCTTTTGTCTCAGTTCGGTGATTGTACGAGCAGGATGCTGTCGTAGAACCTTTTTCATCTCGTGCCACAAAGTTTCAATAGGTGACAGATCTGGACTGCTAGAAACCCATTTCAAAAGAGGTACATTATTTTCTTACATCCATTTTATAGCCTTTTTTGAGCTATGGCACGCTGCACCATCTTGCTAAAACACAAAATCTTGGCCGGATGTCAAACATTCTTCCATCACTGGTAAAAGCGATTCTTCTAAAATTGCCAAATATTTGTTTGTATCCACATTTCCATCAATAAAATGAAGTTTTCCTACTCCTTCTGATGACATACTGCCTCAGACCATAATGGATGCTGGAAATTTCACTTTTCTCTTCAGACAGTCAACATGGAATGCTTCATGTTTTTGCGAATGACTCTACTGCGACTGTCACCAACACAAATTTCGAATCGGGCCTCATCACTCCGTTATATTGCACACCATTGTTGAGGTGTCCATTGTCTATGTTCTTTAGCCCATCTAAGCCGATTTTTCTTTTGCAGTGGAGTTAATAGTGACTTTTCTTTGTCCCTTAAACAAGTTGTGCAAATTTAGGGTTTTTACTTCACTTTTTTTATAAGAAAACTTACCTTGCAAGTGCTAAATCCCAGTTTGTCGGCCTCTCTAAGAGTTGTGGACCTCGAAATTCTCCTTCCAACAACGTCACTCCACAAAGGACTTAATTGTAAATAATTGGCACGCCTGTTCTTTCACGATTATTCTTCTTAATTCTCTTCGGTCGGCATTTATGATATTACTTTTTTTCACATATCGTGGCTTAATATTAACTGAGCCAGTTACGTTATATCTTCTACCAATATTTCTCACACTGTACCGCGATAAGTCTAACAAAGTTGCAATTTCTGAGTTTTATTTCCCAGAATAAAAAAATTTAATTGTCAGTAACCGAATTTTCTGACTAATAACCTTTCCTCTGCCCATTTTGAAAACCTTAACTACCCAAAACTATTTTAAACGTATTCTGACAGCTGTCATTAATAAAAACAATTGTCATGGCTTTTATTTTTCACAGCCACCTATGCGTTATAGACTTATTTTGCATTAAAATGAAAATAGGTTGATATGCTGTAATTGCAAAATGTGTTATTTTTATGCTGCACATTTGATTAGGGAGTGATAAAGTTTGTGTTTTCTACTATATATTATCAAAATATTCATTGTTAATATTTTAAACCTATAACACCCTGCTACATGTTTATTATTCGTGTTTGATAAGAAAACACTAAGATTTCAATAGTTGGGCCAACTGAACTGGAAAGGGGCTCGTAGATGGAAAAACACATCGCCTGTCAGCAGTTTTTCCGAGTTTATCCGCGGCAAAACTTGACAACTGTTGTCACCAAAAATTACAATACCTTTGATAACAAGTAATTATGGTCTCCCAGAATACCAGAAACGACGCTAAACAATTTTTCTGATTTTATT